GTTTATTCTTTCTTAATACAACTTTGCAATACATTTAATTTCCACAGTCACGCTATAACTTAAACAAACGCTATAATTCGCAACGAATGATTCACGCGCTTGACTCAATTGTTTGTCTTTATTTCTGTCTGCAATTCAATTCCATTGGATTAGTCTCACGTTAACCGGCGCACTTATATAGAGGAATAGAGGGCGCCTAGCACATACTGGATTATTCGTGATGTTCCCCGATCCTTCGAGAATATCATGACGTGTTACCAGGCTCACATGACTACCGCTGTCGTAACAATATTATAATGTAATTTTTGGCTAAGGTTTTGTCATTTAACTTCTGTTGCTAACCATGAAGGTTTAAATGTGTATCACTGTTGAATTCTTCTGTGCTTAAGCTCTCCAGCGTTGAATCAGAACCATGTCTCTTCATTTTGTTATGAGAGAAAAGGGATTGTTTGTGCAGTAACAACTCATGTTGTGGAATTGTATTGATAAATGTTTCATTTAATTCTTCTTTGGGGTGCGGTCCCTCAAATTGAAATATTGTTGATGTTTATTTTTGAATTATAATATTTGACTTTGCTTCTCCACAGGTAAGAGCTTGGTAACTTGGATACAAAAATGGAGTGACATCTTTAACCTAATCAAAATTGACATTAATACACTTTGGGTGATACCATTATATACTCATATCACACACTATCATTGTTAGATCAACATTACATTGACTTTTACTGACAAATTAAAATTAACGATCTAATTAAGTTTGAATACTACTCTATCTTAACCAACTGAACCACAACCTTGAGACAGCGAAACATGGGAACTATCACATAATAACACATATATCCTGGAAAGTACCAGTACGTAATTTTTTTTTACAATATAGCATAGTTAATAATACTATGTAAAATACAATAATACAGTGTTTGAATAATAAAACTCTTCCTTTGAAGTAGATACATGTCACAATAGAAGAATTATTACAGGTTTTAGGGGAAAAGTTGGTTTAAACATAAAATAGAATTAAAGTCATATAAGGTAATAACAATAACTAATATAAGTTAAAAAGTATGTCATATGTAATACAGTTGGTATGTATAATGAAAATTATGAGTGAGTTTGGTCTTTGAAACCTATTTACTTCCAAAGCTGGAAGCTCTAGAACATAGGCCATTATTATGTATTGTTGCGTCAGCGAGTCACATGACTACAGTGACGCCACGTTTCTAGAACTATCATGTACTTTGGCGAATGCTCTAGTATTTACTAGATAGGGTAGGCTGGTATATATAAGAGGGGGAAAACGTGACGCGGGAAGGAAATGTAATGTGTGTGTAGATAGTGAGTAA